TATAAGGAAAAAGATTACAAAAAAAAAAAAAAAGAATTTAGTGTCATAAAAAAATACTCTTAAAAATTCAAATCTTCAACAATAACTTATGTTCCCTAACTAAATTTCTTGGCTCCGTCCTTATAGACACTTTTCAGTTTAATATATTTTACAATATATTTATAAAGAAATTACTGTTTTTAAGTTATAATAAAAACAAAAAAAATTAAAATTTTAAATATTAATAATTAAACTAATAAATATAAGTGGGTGTGTATATTAACCAAATTAAAAGAGTTCAAAATTCCTACTTTTTAAATTTTCATCTAGCATTAGTGGCAACACGGATTCTCCAAGGATCCCATCCCCATTAATTACCTGTGTCCATGAGGCTATGAATCGAGTACCCATGTACTCTGAATAATAAAAAATTTTGATTCGTCTTAAAAAAAAAAAAAAACCTGTGAGAGATTCCGTCCCCAAAATTGATATGAACGAAGATGGTATGACTTCCCATTCTTGCACTGTCGTTCGGATGCCATTCCTATTCATGAATTATGATGGAAGGAAAATATGGAATATTATAGAAGATCGATTTATGGCGGGATTGAAGCCTTTAATATTTTATCTTTGGTACCTAATTAAGCCCAATTCGCTTACCTAACCGGCACTCGTGTAAAAGTGAAAAATGGATTAGTCCAAATGATTTGAAAGGTTTTAGTTAAGAGAAGAAAGGACGTTTTACTTAAGAGCGCCCTTTCTTCTCTTAACTAAAACCTTTCAAATCATTTGAAAAGGAAGAAAGGACGTTTCAAATCATTTGGACTAAGGACCAATACTATACCTCTAAGGATAGATTATTTGATTTAGTTCATATCAGAACATATCTTTGGTGCAGAAGATGGAATGGGTTCAAGTATATCTCTTCTATGGAGTGGTGTTTACAACCAAGGCAGGTCTTCTATGATAAGGGTAAACAGCCTAAATTCTTAATGGGAGATTAATTTACAGGGTATGATTGAGAATTGCTTTAAGAAAATTGAGGCTTCTGATTGGGTATCAATGTATTTGCTCCAATTGCTTTCTATAGGTTAAAGTACTTCTTGTATTCTAAATTTAATAAAAAAATGCTTTGCCTTTCAAAAAATCTTCTATCTTTAAGGGAGTGGCTTAACTGTTAAGAGTTTTAGATTTTTAATTGGAGACTATCCATTCAAAAATTAAATTATGTGAGGAGAGATCTAGGAAAAAGGGAGAGTTATTCTCTCTTATATAATTCATTAAAAAAAAAAAGAAAGAGCCAGTGGAACTTACCCAACTACTAGAACTCATAAATTCCTTGACGAGAAATCATGTCAGCAAGAAAGGAAATCATGTCGATAAAGTAATTTTCGGATAAGAATCATGTCGGTAATTGGGTCTTCGGTGAAAGTGGCCTCGATAATTCATTTACTGAGGTGGATAAAAGTTACATCGGTAAGATGACTCCAAATTACCGACAAAAACCATGTGTCCAAAGTTGTCCCAGAATAGTACTACTGGAGTTCTTTTCTGGTTACCTGCGTCGATAATTCACCGACGAAGATCATGTCTCCAAGTACAATAAACAGTGTCTTGGCAGGTGGGATGGTGGGCTAGTTACCAACAAGAATTATGTCTCTACCTACCATGAACAGTGCTTACAGATGGAGTAGGTTGGCTAATTACTGAGGAGAATGGTGTTTGAAATTTGAATTGGCAATGCAATGTAGGAATTTTCAGTTTGGCAAATTATCGACGAAGGTCACATGGGTACATAAATCTATTAAAATAAAAAAATAGTTTCCTGAATTAATATTGAAATTAATATATAATTTTTATTTAATTCAATTAATTTACAATTAAATATTACATAATTCATAATATTTAATGATGCACTAAATCACCCTAACAAGTGTATTAGTTGCTCTAAGTAATATAATGATTAGAAGAGTATTGAACCCATAAGGATTGTGTTTAACTAAGCACCAAAATAATTAATCCACATTTATTTGAACAATCGAAAAGGAAGAAAGTTCAATTAAAAAATAATAAAAAGAAAATAACAATTAAAATCAAACTAATCAAGATATGAGGTACTAAGGCATTGATTTCACCATAATCAATCAATATAAATTCTGGATTATTAAATTGTTAAATGTTATTGCATGTGATGGCGGATTTTCCTAAATTAATTTACTAGCTTTCTCAAGTAAGTTAATCCTTCACTTGTTTGTTAAATTAATCATATCTTAATATAATTTTAAACAAACTAATGAGTATTAAATTCTATGGAAACGACTAATTTAAGAAGGGAGAGCTCCTAACTCTTTTCTCTTCCTCCACTACCACATGTGAGCTAATTACCTCTCGGTCTCATAGTTTAGCACACGGTTTATATTATTATTGGTCTAATTTACGCAATTCTTTCTCAAGGTCATGCATAAATTACTAAATCAATTGAAAGGTGATTAGACGTCCAATACATTAAGTTCAATAATATAAACTCCTCATGCAAATGACTTTAATTGAAAGCATAAAATCACAAAATTTGTATTAAATTGCTTAGGCTATATCGTAACCCTAGTAAAATAAATTAGTTCATAATAAAAATAATAAAATCTGAAATCACAATTATAAACATAAGAATATCTAAGGAAAAATATAACCTAATTTGAGATAATTGAAATCATTGATCTTCTTGTTGATGGATCCTCTATTTTGACCTCCAAGAGTGCCCAAAAGAGGGCTGCCACCAGCCTCCACCAAGCTCTCTTAATTTTGAATTTGGATGGGTATTTATAGGATTTTAAAAACCCTAGTTAGAATAGAGGTAGGACTTGGAACGTAATAGGAAACTTGAATTTTGGATGATGACGATGTGGTGTTGATACTCCAAATTATGTGTCGACACAAAATAGAAAACAGAAAATCTGATTTTGGACGCTAAATGCATGCTGTCGACACTCTGATTATGTGTCGACATTGCACCCGTGTTGAGTTTCTGGTCTTTTTTTGTAATTTCTTCAATGGCAAAATAGTAGATTTGGTCCTCCATGTTTTGTACAATGAGCACTTAGATCCAAAAACTCAAGATTCATTCATTAAGGTCCCAAAGAGGTGCCCTTTTTCTTTCAGTTTAGTCCCTCAACTTTCACAAGATGTTCAATTAATCCCAAAACTTCCTATTTTTATGCATGGAAAGCCTTTTCTGCACAAAGAATGGGAACCATGTAAAATCTCATAAAACTCACCCAAATATCAATAATATCAAGGTAAAAATTTCATATTAATATCTATATAAATTCAGCTCATCAAATTCCCCCAATTATGAGTGGTTAGTAATGCCTTTTGGATTAAAAAATGTGCCTCAAATATTTCAAAGAATGATGGATAATGTATTTTCTTCCATCAAAAAATTTTGCATAGTTTATGTAGATGATATACTAATTTCCTCTGATAATGAGAAAGAACATTTATGTCATTTTAAGAAATTTGCATATTTATACAAAAAACATGGAATATTACTTTCTGAAAAGAAAGCAAAGATAGGAAAAACCAAAATTGAATTTCTTGATTTAACAATAGATTCCACAATAATAGAATTACAACTTCACATTAGTGAAAAATTTTGGTTAAATACCCTTTTTGGTCCCTCTACTATAGGAAAAAGCTCATTTTTGGTCCCTATACCAAAAAAATCCCCTTTTTGATCCCTAAATTTTAAAATCTGGCCCCATTTTAGTCCTTTCGTTAATTTTTGCTCACGTGGCACGTTAACTTAACTGGAATGGCTGATGTGGATATGCCAACATGTCAAAGATGCTTACATGGACTTAATGACACCCTCCATGTCACTCTCTTCTACGCGGAAAATTTTAAAAAAAAGGTTAAATACTAAATTTGATTCCTCAACTTTATAAATTTGCACTTTTTTGGTCTTAAATTATTGTTTTTTCATTTTTTTATCTTTTAACTCTAAAAATTACATAATTTTAGTCCTTCTATAAGTTAAATATGCTGTGATAATTAAATAATTTCATTTGACATTTTCTTGTTATTTTTTTTGATGACATGACAATTATATATATATATATTATATTTATAGTATATAGATAAATAAAAATGTCATGTAAATAAATATTT